GCGACGCTGCTGGGAGCCTGGGGCCGGTTCTGGGGCCCGCTGGTGGATTGGGGGGGTCAGAGAAGAGCCAGGAGAACGACCGCCGGGTTCGAAAGCTCCTGGGAGCGACAGAGGCCAGGAGCTCCGGCTGCTTAGCTGAGCACAGAGACGGTTCAGGGGTGACTTGATCCCAGCCTGTCGCTGCCCACAGGGGAACAAACGTGTCCTGGCGCCCCGGGTTCGTCAGGCTCGCAGAGGGAGATCGGACGAGCCGCTGGCTGGACGCTGAAGCTGGACACATCCAGGCTGGAAACGAGACGTGCGTTCTTAGCGGTCAGAGGAAATAACCAGCGGAACAATTCCCGGGGTGGGGGGGAACACTGGCAAAACCTGGATGGGCTGTTCTCACAGACCCGCTCCAAGAGCGAGTTCGGTCCCCAGCTCTGGGAGGGGAGTGGGGTCTAGTGGTTAGAGCGGGGCAGGGGGGGCTGGGAGCCAGGACTCCTGGGTTCTATTTCTGACTCAGGGAGGAGAGTAGGGCCTAGTGGGTTAGAGCCGGTGGGGGGTAGGAAGACTGGGAGCCCAGGTTCATGCACAAGTCCCGTCCCGACACTGTGCCTCAGTTTCCCCTTCCTGTACAGTGGGGGTAACAATCCTGGCAGTTTGCAAAGTGCCAAGTCCCCACAGGCCCCATGGTGGGGAAGCACTACCTGATCCTCTGTTGATCTATCTATCACTTCTGGCACCACACATCGGTCGGGGTCTGGGCAGCGCCCGGCACGACGGGGCCCTGATCTCGGCCGGGGTCTGCGCAGCGCCTGGCACGACGGGGCCCTGATCTCAGGTGGAACCTGCATGCGCTGCTGTAACCGAGATAATTATACACAATAGTTGCAGCCTTTGCTGTCTCTACTGTCCCCTTTGTAGGGGTCGGCAAAGGCCTCTCAGAACTTCTGGTTCATCTCCTTCAGGGCCCAGGAAACCCCCCTTTCCTTGGCAGAGGAAAGCGTCCGCCTCCTGGGTAAAGTGCTTTGAGATCTGCAGCTGCCAAGCTGTGCAAGCGATGCTGTAATATTACCCCCTCCCCCAGTCCTTTTCCGATCACAGGGGTTCCCTCTCCCCTACGTGTGTGACTGAGAAGAGCCCACGCGTTGCTGCCGACCAGGGCTGGGGGCACGCGTCTGTGTGCGCGATGGTTCGTGCCCAGCTCGCCAGGCGCCCAGACACCCGCATGGGGCGGAAACACGGGCTGTTCTTAGCGAGGAACGTCCGGCGAGGGAGTCGTTCAAACCTGGCGCGTGCGCAGCCCGCAGCTTTCCAGCGCCGCTCCGCGAACCTCAGCCCTGCAGCGGGGAGAGGGGCCGGGGGGAACCGTTTATTTGCCACAATCTGCATTTCTTGGTCGAACTAGGCGCTAATTCGCGGCAAATGCAGCGAATCCTGTTGGCCGGAGGACAAATGTTGACTTTTCCCGGGGCAATGGAGCTGTCCTGTAAAAACGAGCTGCACAGAGAAGAGGGAAGAAAACCCCAGAAAACGAAACGTTTCGTCTGACCCACATTGACATATTTGGGGTTTTTTTTGTTTCTCCAAGGATAAAACCAATAATTGTCATTTCGAGTCGGCCGCGAACGATTTTTCTGTCCAGATTTTCCAGCTCAGCCACCAAACAGAAAGTTCAGTTATTTGCTCATCTCTGCGTATCACTGCAGACGTTCCCAGCCCCGTCCTCTGCTACCGCCCCATAACTGACCCTCCGGCCCCTCGTCGCAGCGGGTGTGAGTGGCTCCAGTTTCCAGGTGGAGGGGGCAAGTGACAGGAGTCTGACCCCTCATTGCTGTTTTCAGGCCCTGGCGTGGGGAAATTGAGCGCCGAAGCCATGCCTGGGGAGAGCCCACATGGCCTGGCTGCGCTGGGAGCCCCTGGGGCCGGAATAGTTACCGTGCGAACGATGCCGCTCTAGCTCCTCCGCCGGCTTCCCCACTGGAGGAGCCGTGATCGGTGGCAGGGGGCACGTTGGCAGAGGAACCTGACGTGCAGCGTGACGGGTGTGACGGGTTCAATCACACAGACCCCCTTGGGACTGTCACCTGGTGTGCTGAGACTACCTCTGAGCCCGTTTTCCCTGCCAGCTTGGGACTCCAGAACCCTGCCTTGTTGAGCCAGACACGCCAGCCTGCTGCAACACAGACCCAGGTCTGGTTCACGCCCCCAAAGCTCCAGACTTTAACCAAAAACTGCTCAGCAGGTCACCTGCCTCCAGCACCCAGACACCCAGTTCCCAATGGGATGCAAGCCCCAAATAAATCCATTTTACTCTTTATAAATCGTATACAGGGTAAACTCATAAATTGTCCGCCCTCTATAACACTGATAGCGAGATATGCACAGCTGTTTGCTCCCCCAGGTATTAATCACTTACTCTGGGTTAATTAATAAACAAAAGTGATTTTATTAAGTATAAAAGTAGGATTTAAGTGGTTCCAGGTAATAACAGACAGAACAAAGTAAGTCACTGAGCAAAATAAAACAAAACACGCAAGTCTAAGCCTAATACATTTAAGAAACTGATTACAGGTAAATCTCACCCTCAGAGATGTTCCAATAAGTTTCTTTCACAGCCTAGACTCCTTCCTAGTCTGGGCCCAATCCTTTCCCCTGGTACAGTCCTTGTTCCAGCTCAGGTGGTAACTAGGGGATTTCTCATGACTGCAGCCCCCTTTGTTCTGTTCCACCCCCTTTTATAGCTTTGGCACAAGGCTTTTGTCTCTCTGGGTCCCCACCCCTCCTTCTCAATGGAAAAGTACCAGGTTTAAGATGGATTCCAGTCCCAGGTGACATGGTCACATGTCCTGTGAGACCCCCGGCCTCCATTCTTCCCGGCCTGACTCACAGGAAGGCTTACAAGCAAACAGAGCCATTTACAACCAATTGTCCTGGTCAATGGGAGCCATCAAGCTTCCAAGCCACCATTAATGGCCCACACTTTGCGTAATTACAATAGGACTCAGAGTTAACTTCGTATTTCTAGTTTCAGAGACAAGAATGATACGTACATACAAATAGGATGACCGCACTCAGGAGCTTATAAGCTTTGTAATGGTACCTTACAAGAGACCTTTTGCATGAAGCATATTCCAGTTATATTATATTCACTCTCATTAGCATATTTCCATAAAGCATATGGAGTGCAACGTCATAACGGGTCCCGTCCCTCGTTCGCTCGTAGCTCCGAGATGGGCTAGACAGCGGGAGGCGAACCGCGCGAGCTGGGAACGTAGCGCGAGACGCCTCGGTGGAATCTGTTCGTTCCCACGTGTTGGGCTGGGTGCAGGATCTCCGGGCGACTCTCTGATGTCGGAGGGCAACTTAGATCCTAAAGGGCTTAAAATCTATTAGCCTGAGCGGACTGTAAGGGCTGTTTGCAAAGCCTGCTGGGAGCTGTGTGCTGCGATGGGCGGGTGTTGCCATTGGTGCGCTGTCAGGCGTCTGGATTGTGCATTTATCGATTCATCGTGTGCACGGAGTCCTCGTCGCCCAGCCCCGTGCAAAGGGAGAGTGACATTGTCGGCTCACGAGGGTGGCATTTTGCACAGAGATTTGGGGAAGCAGAGCCCGAAGGGAAAGGCACAGATTTTAGTAGTTCAGTATTAGGTACATCACGGCCCATTGTGCCAGGCGCTGCACAGCCCCTGCCCGGGAGAGTTTACAGTCTAAATTGACGGAGGGCGGGAGGAGACGGGACTTGCCCCACATCATGCAGCAGGCCAAGGGGCAGAGCTGGGATAGAACCCAGGCGTCCTGGCTCCCAGTGGCCACACCACCCCCTGCAGCCCTGCTCTGCACTCTGCCGGATAATCTCTCGTGCCTTCTTGGCAAGTCGGCATCTGCTGGGCAACCCCCCCTCCCTTGGCTGCTGTTTAACGCCAGCGAGGTAACGAACACATCAGGCGCGCCCGGGCCGAGAGCTGCGCGCGGTTTGGCGCACCCCACGCTCGGAGGAGGGACGAGCCGGTGGTCCCGGCTGGGGGGGCCGTGCACAGCCCTGTACAGATTACTCGTGCGTCGGGCCCAGAGACTCCCTACAGCGGCCCGTGAAGTCTCCTCCGGGCGTTTGGCCTCTGCGTGCGGCGTTTGGGCTCCGTGCCGGGGAGAGCGTCGGTTCCTCGGGGTTATGCCGAACCGTTAGGGTCATGGCAGCCCCAAAGCCCCGGTGGGCTGGCCAGCCCCAGCGGACAGACAGTCCCTGCCCCGAGAATTCACTGCTGAGCATGGTGACTCGCACCTGTGCAAAGCCTTGGCCAGCTAGCAGGGGCCTGTGCGTGCTGGGCTGTGCGTGTGCAGCACAGAGCCTGCTCCCCCCCCCAGGGCTCCGTGCGTGTGAACGCACGAGCGTGAGCGGCAGCGCTGTCCGCACGGGCGATTGAGGGCGCCGCTTTGCCTGCTGCGATGGCTTGTGTGCGATGTTTGGACACGCGGGATGGTGGGTACGTGGGCAGAAGCCAGGTGCATGAAGCTGGGGTGCCAGTTCTGGCACTGGCGTGCCCAGGCACGGCATACACGGACTGCACGTTGGCAGTGAATCGTGCGCCAGATTTCCCCCGTGCCGATCCCTCGTGCACACACTTGGTGCGTTGTCAGTTGCACGATGAGTGATCGGATGGCGTGTGAGACCCGTTCTGGGCGGGGGGGCGTGCAGGAACGTTGAGCGTGTAGCATGGTACGTGCACCAGTGACTGTCGTGCTCTGGTTGCTGGAAAGTGCTTGGCGCTGTTCACGCTGCTTAGAAAAGAGCAGCCAGGCCCCGATCCAGCTGGAGGTTCCTGGGGGCGGGGCTGCCGGCTGGGGCAGGGTCTCCGGGAACCCCGGCCCAGAGCCTGTCACTTGCTGTCATTTCCGGTAGACGTTGACGCTCCCCGATGGCCAGCGGAGCAGCCGAGCTGGAGAACATGGAGGTCCAGCCGCAGAACAACAACACCCGCTGGGAGAACACGGACAACCAGGCCTGGGACGACACCACGGCCACCGCCAAGCTGTTCGAGTGCTCCCGCATCAAAGCACTCGCCGGTACATCCGCGGGGGGTGGGAGCCAGGACGCCTGGGTTCTATCCTGGCTCTGGGAGGGGAGTGGGGGCTAGTGGTTAGAGCAGGGGGGCTGGGAACCAGGACTCCTGGGTTCTATCCCTGGCTCTGGGAGGGGAGTGGGGGCTAGTGGTTAGAGCCGGGGCTGAGCCAGGACTCCTGGGTTCTGTTCCTGGCACTGGCAGGGCAGTGGACTGTGTTGGTTAGAGCAGGGGGTGCCGTGGGGGGCCCTGCACACGTGACTAGACATCTCCACAGGCTGGGCGTGGGCAGGGCAGTGACCGATCTGCGTTTGACCCGGTAGATGAGCGCGAGGCCGTGCAGAAGAAAACCTTCACCAAGTGGGTGAACTCGCACCTGGCCCGGGTGTCCTGCCGCATCAGCGACCTCTACGCCGACCTCCGCGACGGCTACATGCTGACCAAGCTGCTGGAGGTGCTGTCCGGGGAGCAGCTGGTGAGAACGCCTCGGCCGGCCCGGCGCTACGGGGACCCCTGGGGGCCTGGGACCCCTGGGGGCCGCCCTGTCAGAGTCTGCGCTATGTGCCGTGGCGGGATGCACACTCTGCCCGCTGCAGGGCTCAGCCGGGGTGGCAGGACGCTGGCGCGGTGTCCCCAGCCGGCACGGACAGAGCCAGCAGCAGAGGGTGGGGTTTGGGGGTGGTTCTGTAAAGGGGATCTGGGATGGACATGGCTCTGTCCCCATTAGCTGAGAGCTCTCCCCTGGCCGGGCGGGGAGCCTGCGTGGCACCGGGGACGGGGGAGCTGGAGGCGCGGTGCTCAGGCCCCTCCCTGTCGCCCCCAGCCCAAGCCGACGCGCGGGCGCATGCGGATCCACTCGCTGGAGAACGTGGACAAGGCCCTGCAGTTCCTGAAGGAGCAGCGTGTGCACCTGGAGAACGTCGGCTCGCACGACATCGTGGACGGGAACCACCGCCTGACGCTGGGGCTCATCTGGACCATCATCCTGCGGTTCCAGGTGCGAGGGGCCGGCGAGGCCAGTGCCCGGGCGGGCGGCCGCTCGGGGGAAATCAGGTGCTCCGGGGAGTGGGGCTGGCCCCCGGGGCTGCCCCAGGGTGGTGCTAGGGGGCGCTGTGCTGCGGGGAGCGGGCTGGGGGGTCAATAGGGGGCACTCTGCCCTGCCAGCGGTGCTGGGAGCCGCGGCTCAGGAGCATAAGGGCAGCGCCTGGTGCCGTGGGGTGGTGACAGATCCCCAGGGACGGCCCAGCCCCAGGGCAGGCGACTCTGCTCTGCCTCTCTCTGCCTTCCAGTTGGACGCGGGCACTGTTACACAGCCGCCGCCGTCCCCCCAGAGGTGGCTGCATCCCAACGGCGAAGTGATCCCCATATCGATCGCAAAGCACCGCACCCACCCAGCCAGGCAGGTGGCATAGGGCCAGCTACACCCGCTGATCCCACGCAGGGTCCCCCCCCAGGCTGGGCGTGGGGGCAGAGGAGATGCAGCTCTCGCTGTTCTCCCAAGGTGCCGTCTTAGGGGGATGCCCCAGCAGGAGAAGGGGGAGGGGAGCGGCCAGTGGAACCCAGGTGTCCGGCGGGGGAGGGCTGAGCGTTTCCATGGTGCGTGTGTCAGTCATCCTCCCCCCTCGCCCAGATCCAGGTGATTAAAATCGAGACGGAAGACAACAGGGAGACGCGCTCGGCCAAGGACGCGCTGCTGCTCTGGTGCCAGATGAAGACGGCAGGGTGAGGGGGGCTCTGGAGCTGCCCGGGTGCCCCCATAGCTCCCAGCTGGCCTTCGCACGGGGCGTCCCTCCGGGGGCACGTGACTTGCCCAGGGCTGTGACTCCACACTTCCCTCCTGGCGCGGCCCAGGGAGCCGGTCCTGAGCTGCGCCTCGGGCCTCGCTTTGCTCCCTGGCAGGGTGGGCTCTGCCTGCTGCTCCCTAGATCAGCGCGCGTAGGGACCGGGCAGGCATAGGGACCTGGCGGGCGTAGGGACCGGGTGTTCTCTGGGTGGGCGTAGGGACCGGGCAGGCGTAGGGACTGGCATGCGTAGGGGCAGGCATTCTCCGGGCGCACAGCTGGGTCGCTTGGACCAAGGCGTGAGTTTAACCCCGGGCGGATGGTTGGATTTCGGGTTTGGGGCCGGTTCTGGGTCTGGAAAAGGGCTCAGCTCTTAAACCTAAATCAACCTCCACACGGGCTGTAACTGAGCCAGGGCAGGGCCTCAGCAGACTCCACTGTCCCCCCTGGGCCGGCACAGTCCCAGCCGGTGCCGGGATCCC